AATTATCTTAAGCTAATGAAAGGTTCGATTAATATAAGATAATTTTGGTCTACTTATAAATGTCTAAGATCTGAATAAAATGGTTCCTAAGTATGATTAAACTCAAATCTAGTTTCTAGTATTTCGTTTTTAGTATTTAGTTCGTGCTGTTTTTTTTGTATTATTGCGACGAGAATTAAATATAGATGGATAATAGTATGGGTTATATATGTGTCGTTAATTGTAAAAATGAATTATGTCCTTGTTATTAAATTTTGAAATAATGAGCTTTTAGCAAATTAGTGTGTAGTAATTTTAATACACTGAGTAAACTAGTAATGCCATCTATGGGAAGTTAGTGCAATTATTGGAGTTGCTTCACTTTTATAATGAAAGACATGACTAAATGTGATTCAAATATGTGTTTTAAAATATGGACTTACACCACTTTTATAATGATCGACACATATACAAAGGCAATTTCATACTACCCCTAGTATTCAGTTGTATTGTTTATTAAAGTGAAGTTAATGGTTCGACAACTAACCTTTAACTGTATATGAAAAGATTGTTAAAAGCAACAACGATAATATTTTATATTGACATGATTACATACAGGATTACTTCAAATTAACCTGGAAGCTTTTAACTCGGTGTTCCTATCATTCGAGAAAATAGCTTTTGTTTTTGGACGTTTGAAAGTTTGAGCAATTCGTTTTCCATACAATCCTGTAACAGCTGTTCATCGATTGGTAAAGAGAACAGAAATGTTCGAATTTCTAAAACGCATAAGTGAAAGGCTGTTTTTTATAATGGTAATTCTCTATCAAGAGTTTCAGGGGATGAATGTTATTTATGCAAATGTAAAAATAACCTCGTAGGTCATTAAGTATCAACAACGGCAAAGGGTGAATTTGTGAAAAAAGCCAACTGACATAAAAGTTCCGCAGAATATATGCTGCCTTACATTTTTTTCCATAATACAGTTGTAGAATATATTTCCCAGGCTCGTATTAACCTTTTGCCACTGATAAAGGAGTCACCACACTTACTTAATCGTATTAAGCCAGTCAGAAAAATAATATGACCATGCAATAAGAGCGAAAACAAAAAAGTTTGCCGTTTTCGTTCTTTTTGCATTATATGTTTTTTCTGACCGGCTCAAACCAATTACGAATCGATAAGTGTGGTTACTCTATCTGAACGTGATGTGTAATTTCTAAACTCGAATTTCAAACTGATCAGTGCCAGTATCATTTAGGTATTCAACTTAAAAGCTTACACGAAAATAAACAGGGTAAATAAGTTACTTACAAATAAGAAGTGTAAAATTAGTTTATAAATAAGTGAAAATAAAAATATCAAATAAGATTCATATTATATTAATTTCGTAAATTATACAATGGTATACCCTTAATGCTAGATAGAAAAATATACATCGCTACATGCCTCGCGGTACCATCTCAGACTTTCCAAGCTGGTCTTCGGATCTTTGATCATCTGAAGTTTATTATTCAATACAACAAAAGAAGGAAACGAAACATAGAATCACCACACTTATTAACGCGTAATCGGCTTGAGCCGGACAGAAAAAGCTTTATGGCCATGTAATATGAGTGAAAAAGACGTGCTTTTCGTGTCAGCGAATAAGCCTTAAACGTATATTTTCCGCTTTTATTCATGGGCAAAAAGCTTTTTCTGTCCGGGTTATATTTATTCCGATTCCATGTCGAATGTGGTGATTTCCTTAAAAAAGCATTCAGGATCCACTACGTATTTGCAGCCAAAATCCACAATAATAGATTAAGATTTTATTAGATGAATATATAGGAGCCAAAAAGCTAAACTCTCAGATGTAAGATAGATCTCAAATTCCGAACACAATCACAATCGCACATCTTACTAATACATAACTACGAATAACAAACTAAGAACCTACAAACAAGCGAACTTAAGGCTCAATTTACATTGTAACGTAAAAACTATATACGATAAGATAGCTACTGGAATTCCCGAGAATTCTCCTGAAGACGCGCGATCAGTTTTTCGGCTTGTATCAAGTTTGAAAGTTACACAATTGACATAAAGATAATTATGATATGCTTACAAAAATTTGCTTTTTTATTCCATTCGGCGGCAATGTAAATTGAGCCTTATACACAATGAGCGAAAATAAGAACATCTTCAGATTCATATATTCAATGATATTACAAAAGTAAAGCACGTTAATACTTTGAACAAATTTTAAAAAAAAACAAACTTTGAAAAAACAAATATACGCGATTTAAATCCGGAAAAATATCGAGTTCTTAGGTTTTCGCGATTGTTACACATAGGAATGAAACCATTTTTCCGGATTTAAATCGAAACGTCGGTTTGTTTGAAAAAACAAATATACGCGATTTAAATCCGGAAAAATAGTTTCATTCCTATCCGGAAAAATAGTTTCATTTCCTATGTGTAACAATCGCGGAAAACCTATGAACTCGACACGTTAATACTATCATAAAAGTCGAAGCTTTCCAAGTCCCAAAACAGTTTTGTTTACTTGTGGAGATTGTAGCTAGCTCAGTTCCTTTGACTCAATTTACATTGCTGCAGAACGGAGTGGAATTGAATTTTTGTAACGAAATAGTACATAGCATAACTTTGTGTGAATTGAATGACGTACAAACTAGATACGAGCCAAAAAACAGGTCGCTCATCTTATGGTGAATTCCACTTCGATTCTATACCACGGTAATGTAAATTCAGCCTTATTATGATGACCCGTATTTTTTTAAGATTTTGACGCCATTGATTAACAAGAACAGGCAAACTGCGGGTAGCATCTATTGATCGCAGCCGTTGCCTTCATGCAAAAAGAACCCGTAAAGTAGAAACGCGTCGACTTTACTGATGGTACTTATTTATATACACGAGGTAAATAATACGATCCGTGACAGTCAAAACCTACCACAGATTAAAAGAGTTACTAATTTATTGGTTTTTTTTAAATATTGTTCGGGCAACAAGCATTTAAAATGGGCATACGTAGACGTACGCATAATGACCAACTGACTACTTTGTTTTTATTTTTTAATTTGTATTTGACTTTGTATTTTAAGCATTGCGGGATTTCACTCTGTGTTTATAACTTGAAATTTAAACAAATGTACTCTGCCAGTTTCGATTTCTGGTTAATTAATGCTATCTACCATTTTTAAGCCTACTATACCTTGTAAAGTATAGCTATAATATATCAAAAAATCGAAAGCAGATATTACTACTTCGATTGTATACAATACGTTGCCTTACTATTAAAACCTCATATGTGTCACTCTCAAAATCCACTTCTTGCAACGGTATGTGTGGAAAATTTAGTGTTTTACTTGTTAAAACTGTGTTTGTTCACTGTGACGTCTGTTCTGCGCCGGCGCTAACCCATATAGCGCCCAGGCACTTAATTGAAACTCAGTGATCAGAATATCGGGCCAAAATGGTGTATCAGTGATATTAAATGTGCTCAGTTTGAGAAATGTTGGGAAGCAATAGCCTGTTTACTTCGTGACGCAAACTCTTTGGAGGCGTCGCGAGTGACGTTCGGCGCCCTCTAAAGGCAGGTTTCCACTATACGAGTGGTCTCGAACCGAGTACGCTCGTACAAGTTAGATCGTACAGGAGTGCACTCGGATTTTGGTTTACATCTTACCAATTCATCAATATCCAAGTAGCGTTTATCTCCTTGCTTAGACATCTGCTGCTGCGACGTATATGAGTAGTACCTGATATATTAATGCCAGAAAAACAAAATCATGGAAGGGGAAAAAACAAAGCAAGAGAAATATTTGGACCTGAAAATGGATTTTAAGACGTGATCAACTGAGAGCTTCAAATAATTTCATTCGAGAAGTGGAAGAGAAAATAAAAAACACGTTTAAAACCTCATATTGACACGTTCATTCCACTTATTCTTAGTTTGCGCCATGTTGTTTTCAAAAAATGATCTGAGTATACTCGTAACAATAGAACCGCGTCAAAGTCCACTCTGACCTGATGCTGAAGTCCGAGTGCGCTCGGATCACGTATTTATACGTAACGAATAGCGAGCGACTCGATCCGAGCGTACTCGTATAGTGAAAACCCGGCTTATGAGACGCTGCGGCAATGTGCGCCGTACACCCTGCACATCGGTA